ACAGACTCATCTTCCTTTCCCTTTTGCAGCAGTGGCACTGCAGAAACATAACTGAGTAGGACGGGGACGATGGTGATAGTTCAGGTAACGGGGGCAACACCGAAAGCCAGGCAGATAAACGTCACTGATTAGAGATCAGCGAAGGCAGCGCAGAACTGATGGTGCAAAATGATACCCACAGTGTAAATGCACTGAAAGTGGCTGTAGCAACTTCTGTTAACACAGGCGCGCGCGCGAGCTCACAGGAGTACACACAACAGCGCAGCACTGGATGCTCCTCAGTGGCAACGTCGCTGTCACGCTGCAGCACTGATTTATAAAAGTGCTTGGGGTCAGCAGGCTGCCACGTCCATTCTGTCGGTGTTAAGATATGCTATTCATATGCTCATTTAGTTTGTTTTCTGGCACCTTCCAATATTCCATTTTCCAGGGCATTTTAAAGCTATTTATTGGAGAAATACTTATGCTGCCTATGTCTATTTATAAAGGTCCTCCCATGTCCTTCCATGACTCTGCGAATCCAATCTTTAATCTGCTTTACAAAATACAGATGTCAATTTGAGCATTCAAAGGTAATCTTGACTTTCTAAATCTCACCAACAGAGTACATTTGCAACCTAGAAATAGTAAAGGGCAAGAGCAGTGAGGAATCATCGGTTCAACTTACCATCAGGGAAAAAAAAACAGCAACCAAAGTAACAAGCTCACAGGGCAAGCTCTTATATCCAAATATATGCTTTATGCAGGTGCCTCCCATTTGCCTGATTTTGCAGAGCTCATGCTCTCACATTAGAAAACTCACATTAGTATTTTACTTCCCAAGAGCAGCTGGCCCAGGCCTCTCAGGCTGGTCTTTTCTCTTGTGCCCAGTTTAGTGACCCATGTTTCAGGTGAGACTGGTAATAACCAGCATAGCTCAGCATTATCTAGTTTACATGGCTGAATCATAAAGGAAAGCAATGGAGAGTTATGGGTTAAACAGGCTTAAGTATTATTGTCTTCCCTCTCCATGAGTATTTAACAATTATGTATTACTTATTTACAAAGTCTAGGCTTACTCAGTTATTTGTTTTCTGATATTTTTCACTACTTTTGTTGACTAGCTTAGACATATGCACCACTGGAAGTTTCAGATGAGCTTTTCAATGTTTAAAATGGAAACAGGTAAGCAAAAAGTAGTTACTCAACTAGGAATCTGGGTAGAAACGAAGGCAAAGTTATCAACATTAGGAAGTAACTTCCCTTTGTGCCAAAAAGTATTAACCTATGCAACTGAAATTATTTAGAGACTGAAAATAAAAATAAATTCTCAAAGCTGGTCATTCAAACATTTGCTTATTCACACCAGAATCGGCATATGAGGACATGATGAATTAGACCAAGAACTTCACAGAGGTTAAAATACCCCAAAAGTATCACAGTTAGTCACAATAGTTCAGGAATTATCACTGTAAGAAAATAACCATCTGATGCAGGGTGGCAATTCACATGATATATTTCAAGATGTCCTCCAAGTAACAGTCATGTAAAATTGATGTTTCAAGTAATCTCCTGACCACTCTCAGCCTTCCAGACTAGCTGCTCAGGATGAAACAAATTGAGACTGAAAATACCCCAAAACATCTATAAGCAGCAGGTCTGATATGACCTCTTAAAAGCTGTGAAGAGGTAAAAAGTATTTTTGCAATAACATGAATTAAGAATCCTTTCTAAAAGTTTCTGCAGGTAACAACCACCACCGAACTTTCTGTTCTCATAAGGCTCCCAAACATGAGATACTTCTTCCCAGAGTCATCTCCCAGTATGCCAAGTCAGAAACAGTATTTTAACATTTTTAAATACCAAAAGCCCTAGAGTCATTCCTATAAACATGAAAATATTCTATTTCTTTTGCAGCAATCTGATAATTTGCAAGGAAGGCAGAAATGACCCAAACAGATCTGTCACATTTTTTAAAGAAAGAAGAAACAGAAGTATCCTCAACTTCATTAGTAATTTTTCAAATCCTTTTCTGCTACATAGGAGATTGCTTTCAAGCAGACATTATGGAAAGTCTAGAGGACATCCCAGACACCAATGGACAGGAAAGTCAAGACAATCGACACTTGCCTCCTTATTTATGGTGAGACTGGCTACAGCAGAAGAAAAGAGGTGCTGGAACAGGCTAAACCACTTCTGCACTGACAGGGATGCATGCAGAATGAAAAAGAAAATGGAAAGTAGATTTCTGAAACAAACTGTCACATTTAACAATTCCATCTTTGTGGTTTGGGTTTTTTTCTATACCAAGAAAGTTGCTACTTCATTGTGGAAATTTAAATTAAGCTGTATGCTGGGTTATTTATCTGAAGAACGGTTCTGCATGCAAGCTGGTTTTCTACGACAGACCTCTTTTGTTTTTAAAAAGAGGATGTTTGATGTTTTAGTAACATAAATGTATCAGTCTGGAAATGCCAGTGGCTCACTGTGTGTTTCCTGTCCACCTCCAGGATGTTTTCACTGTATTGAGTAGATTTTTCAGACAAAGTTGCAGTTTTGGAAAAATTCAGGTCCAGTAGTTAATAATCCTCCCTTCTAATTTTCAACTGTTTTCCAAAACTGTCTCAGCTTTGAAAAGTATTCATAGACTTCCCTTCTTTTGGGGGAGTGCAGAAAACAGCTGAAGGGGAACACACAGTGCACAAGCTTAAATGTCTGTGTGAAGAGGAATAGCAGTGAAGTTTTCCAAGAAGGACAGCTGGACACTGCGCCACTCGGTTTTTGTCTCTGACACACCCACGCCTGCCACACCAAGCACTGGGACAGGAGAGGGTGGCCCTATCAGACCTTCGACATCTGAGCTACTGCCTCCATGCCTCTGGGAGCAATAACTGCGTATCAAGTCTGGTACAGCTGGCTATTATTACAGTTCGGATACTTTCTTCAAATTCTTTGATCCCATTTCCATTCTTTAATTCTGTCAGAGAAAGTAGAAGAGGAGTTAGGTTCTGTTGCTATTCAGAAAAAAAGCTGCAGAAAGAGCATCACAGCAGAGAAGACAGAGAAAGAAAGAATATAAAAAAATCCACCCAAGCTTATAAAGGAATGTGGTTTCATAGGAGTCCCAGGACAAAAGATGAGGATGTAGAATCTAGCAGAGATCCAAATTTCCCCAAACACTAGGGATGTTCAGAGCCATTATTTTGAACCTAGTCCCTAAACGAATAAAACACCTTCCATATAATATTTTGGAAGAGAATAGAGGCTACAGAATTATATTTTGTAAAATTATATTTAAAGCCTTACCATCAAATAATTTAACTTTCCTATCTTGCTCACTGGGAAGAACTAACTGCATATCGTTTGCCACTATATCTCTTGAAGTAACTACACAGAGTATATAATTTTCCTCTGTGCATCCAACTCCCGCTGAGTTACCAAGGCCCTCTCACAATGTACTTAAAAAGTGCAGTGTTGGTTGGTTGTTTTTTTTTGGTTTGGTTTTTTTTGTTTCTCCCCACAGTAACCTTCTGCTCCATAAAAATAAAATTGGCCTAAAGAAATCATCCTGAAACACAACTGTAAATATGCTATCAGCTAGGAGCTGGCAGCTATAGCCACATTCTGAAGAATCTGTCATTTTCCTTATAGGAAAAAAAGGCAGGCAGCAGGAAACTCAATTCTTGTAGAATTAACTTAAGCTTCTAGCAAACAATTTGAAGATGTGGCCCCAGAAGTCTATATATTTTCTGGATTTTGTACAGTTTCCTATACCCTCCACATTTTTTCACTTCTCTCCTTCCTCTTCTGCTTCCCAATAGTTTGCCCACTCCTGCAAAGGGAATCAACTCATTCCTCACCCTCTCAGAGCTACTGCACTCACTCTCCATATTCTTTCGCTCGTTTTTAAAAGTTCTGTCCTTCAGAGCTCCAGTCGCCAAGTTTTCTCTTCTTCAGAGAACTGGTTTCTGCCCCATAAAGCCTCCTCAGGGCATCAGTTAATCACTCCCCCTTTCCCATAAGTCACTCCTGCTCCAACATTCTCTTTCCTCTCTCTGGGTCAGACCCTCCAGCATCTCTCCCTCTGTACCAAGAGGAAGCAAAGCAGCATCTGCTGCTTTAGAAGCAGCAGTAAGGGTTAGAAAAGCTGCCTGCTGCTTCTCTCCCAAGAATATACTTCGAAGGAACCAATGCTTATGTATCGGTTATCCAGAACAGGCTTTGAAACCCTGGAACATTCCTAGATGAACAGATTGCTGGCAATCATCGGGGGAAAAAAAACACAAAACAAACAAACAAGCCCTACACATTGCTATGCATTCATTAGTTAACAAAATGGGTTTATACGCATTTTCGATTTAACTATGCATACATGTACACAGACACACACTGCACATGCTAACATGAGCATGGAAGAGTTTAAATAGTCCCAGCTTCCTACACACAATATTCACCTTTCCAAAGTTTGCCTAGCATCGGTCCTGACACCTTTTACACACCACCTGCTGCCTGCGATGCACGTCCTCCAAGTGGAGTTTTCTAAAGAGCTCAGCACTGACCTTGTTGCACTTCCAGTGAAATCAACAGCAAAATTTAATTTGATTTTTGATGGAAAAATGAGCATCTTTGAAGTTATGCCCTTGATATAGATTTATTTAGGCAGCAAAATGTCACTTTCTACATCCAAGTGCTAAGAGAGTTTGGATTAGCGAAGAAGAAGGTTTTTTGCAATTCTCCAGGTTTTACACTATTACAAAATTTAGAGCAAGCCTATTTGAAGGCTAATGCTCATACTTCCTCTAAAAACATCAATTCATATTTCATTATTTACAGAATGCAAAAGCCGCCTGATGAGAAAGCCATCAAAGGTAAGCGGTCTTAGTTCAGATGGTGGACTTAGCAATACATACAAGAAAATTATGGAAACAAACCATTAGGGGAAAAAAAAAACCCGTTGCATAGGCCTAATACCATATACTACTGCAATAAACTCAACAGACTGAAATAGCTTTTCTCCTTACCTCTGGAGTGTTTTTCTTGAACTCGCGACTTTGCTCAATAAGTTTTTTCCTAGACTGCTCACTTTCATCTTGCCGGTTAGCCAATATTGTTGCTGTGGCATCGAGCTCTCTCTGTCAAGAAAAACAAAACAACAACAAAAAAAAAGGAACTACAGTCAGAGCTCTGTTTCTCACAGAAATAAACATAAAAGCTCATAGGTACATCATGTCATTTGGAATATCGAGATGGCTGGACTACAGCACTACAGAACAAAGCACCAAGCTTCCAGAAATTGAACCTCCTGAGTAACCAAATGAAGTTCTACAACTTTTTTGATGCCATCTTGCAACCAAAATATCACCATTTTTCTCAAAAGCATTCACAGTTTTACCACAACTTTACATAGGATATAGCAGCAGTGGCATGCAATACACACCTCCTAATAATTTCCCAAATCCAGTGAAGATTACAGGTGTCAGACATGTTCAAGCCAGGTTTATTTTCACCTGCCTGGTTTTTAAAGATACTGGATTTTCCCTTTTTTAGTTACTCTATGAAAAAAAATTCTGATTAACTCAAGTACTGGTTAACCTTATACTTCAGCCTAGACTGGTTATGCTTCAGTCAGTCTTAATTTCAAATTACATACTGTATATAATTCTATACCGCCACTGCAATGCTCTTTTTCCATTTAAGTCTTCCCTTATTTGAATACAAAATTATCTTTTCCTGCTATTGGAATCTATTCCTCTAAAATTATTAGCAGGTATCTCCTTTTCCTCCCCAAAACATATCTATTTTTAATCATCTGATGAGTACCATATTATCTTCCAACAGTCTCTACTAGACTGAAGTACAGGCTTAGCCTACAGACTGTTGCCCAGCTTCCTCCAAGAGTGTTATCCCCATCCCAGTTTCTTTACTCAGTGCTCTGCTTCCAAGTGTCACCATAATAGATTGAATGGGTCACTTATCAGCACATAAACCAATAATACTCAATCTTCCATGTCAGTTTATTCCTTTTCTGCAGTATTTCCATGTAACATGAAAAAAATAAAGGCCAAATCCTCAACTCAGCTATGTACATCACTCCCCAAGTCACTTGCAGTTATAACCAAAAATTCATAAAAGGCATTTGGCACTGTTTCCCCCCCTTATTAATTTGAAAGAAGAAAAACCTGGCTATGAGAAAGAAGTTCATGAAAAGTGAGAACAACATGCTAGACCAAGACATAAAGCAGGTCTCCTCTGTGGCTATCTTCATCACATCACTCTGCCAACATGCCTCTGATGTGTGTGCAAACAACCCAATATTCTCCACCAGAAAACCTGCCGCGCCACTGGCATTTGTTCATAACTCAACAACCTGTAATGGACCAGACCAAAAAAACAAGCCTGGGACCTCCTGTTGGGTCTAATTCCAGATCCCCAGTAGGTGGTCAAGTCACTGACCAAGTCATCTCTTGATACCACCACACACAAAAAACACGGTAAAAGTAAAGCAGATTTGGTTACTACTAGATGGTTAGCATAAAAACTTTACCGTGCATTGGGTCATATATACTTCCCAATGGAACCGGGCACCCGGTATGGGGAAACAGAATCAGAAAACAAAAGATTTGCCTCTTCCTATTTTTGCAGAGGTGTTGGAAATAGCAACAGACAGCAGGTTCCTACATGACACCTGCTAAAATCCCTGTTCTGCAAGTTTTAAAAAAGTACAGGACTAGCAGATAAAAACTAAAAGGTAAGTCAGCTCCTGATTTTTTTACTAGATACTCTGTGGAAAAGCCTGATTCCAAATTCTTAGTTACATTATGAATGGTTAAATTCTGTAACTTTGAATGACTGGATGGACGTACATGTGTTTTACATGACTCCACAGTTTGACCTCTGGAGGGGAGAAAAAAAACCAAAAAAGTGCCTTCTGCAGTTTCCAACTCAAAAGGATCAATACTTCCCCCCCCCCGCCTTTAGGTTTATTACCACAAAACTAAGATACTTTTTTTTTCTCCCTAATAAATATATGGACTGTGGTTATCTTAATCCTTGGAAATAAGCTAAATATGACAAATGGATTTGAAGCTAGGCAGCATGCTGCAGCCAGTGACCTAAATATTGTCACTGCAATGCTTAAAAACCCCTCTATTTCTGACTTTGAAGAAAAAAATGGCAATATGTCCACCAGATCTTGGTTTGGAATTCTGTAACATATGTGAAATCTATTGCAGAAAAGTGGGAAATACTTAACAGTTGGATAAACCACATTTGAAATTCATCCCAGCTAAGTTTATGCAAGAAAAAAGAGCAACAGAAACCAATGTGGTTAAGCAGTACTATAAAGAGCAATATAACGGCTAAGCAGAAGGCTTTTAAAAAATATAAACAATCTGGTACGGCCAGCAACTTGGAAAACTATATTTAAAAAGGAAGCACACATTTAAAGCAAAGCAAAGAAAACACAAATCATGAAGTAAGATGGAATTTCAGTAGACCAAGGAATCAAATGTTTTGTTTTACAATATAGAGTGCTACAAAGCAACTTTACATATGAAAAAGTAGACTTTTAAAGACCTGTACTTCCAAGTTTAGAGACAAGAAAGAAACAGAACTAATTAAAAAAAAAATTTCATATTTTGTGCTATTATGAAGAGAAGTGTCAGGTGGCAAGTGAAGAATAACCTTCTTGCCCTCACTGCTTGATTGATAACCACTGCTACGATGCATTTACTAAGGGCACCTTCACATTACTTTCAAAATTCCTTCTGGGACAGGTTTGGTAATTTCTCACTGAAAAACTTTTCCTTATATGACATCTCAGGTACAGACATCACCAAGAAGAAATGCCAGCATGCAACTACACTGAACTGTTTTGACACTGTGGGCTGAAGCCCACAAGCTCAAGATCTTGCCTAGTATTTATGAACAGCAGATACAGTAAGATGCAACTCCAGCTGAGGAACAGTAGATATCTAGCCCCTGTATACAAGATACTAAATCTTCAAGCTATGTCATAGTTAATAAGCCCCAAATCAAAACTATTTGAAAAATCACTGGTTTTTTTCTTCCTTATTTGATCTCAAGAGTGTACAATCCAAGTTTCATTTATTTAAACCTAATAAACTATATAGCATTACAACCCACAAGCATTATTAACAGCAGATTTTTCATACTTTTGTGACTTAATCTCATGAGATACCCCAATTTTTGTAAAAATTCAACATGGCCAAAGCATTATTTCTGCAAGCAAGCATGTATTAAGGAGTAAGTAGTATTAACTTGGAGATTTCAAACCTGAATACTGTATAACACTCAAAGGTATACATGCTTCCCAAGCTTTGCAACCACTCTCTAAGTAAATATTAAGTAAAAGGAGATGTAATACTGTACAGAAAGAAGCATACTGGGGAGTCCTTTACAGTGTAACAAATACAGGAGATCATGTCTCAGTATCATTCTCCACACCTTTGAAATCAAAAAGGTTCCAATGAAAAGCAAACAGAAACCAGGGCTCAAAGGTGTTGCAATGGTGACCTGACTACAGAAAGGATTCAAAGCCTGGAAGCTTTAGTTCCACTGATTCAACACTGGGTAATAAACTTTCTGGCCAAAAATAGCCACCATTCAATCGTCCCTGCGCAAAAAGTGAGTCACTACTTGGAGCACATTTTAAGAGAGAACAAGCAAGACCATTATCTTTCCCCTTGCCCCCAAGTCCCATCAATTTAGGGCAGGCACAGTTCACACTGCTTAAGCCGTAGATAACTAAAGAACTCTCTCCAGGGTTTCTACCTTGACCCATTTCAACAAATTTATTGGGGGTGGGAGGGAGGCAGTGGGAAGAGAGGAGAGTCTTAAGTGCTGGAGTCATTAAAAGCAAGTCTCAGAAAACAAACATTAAAAGGTTTCTTTCATGCAATATTGTGCTGGTTTCTTCATAGTAGCTGGTATAGCGCTATGTTTTGGATTGGTGCTGGAAACAGTATTGATAACAGCAGTGCTCACACAGAGCCAAGGCCTTTTCTGCTCCTCACCCCACGGCACCAGTGAGGAGGCTGCAGGGGGGCACAAGAATTTGGGAGGGGACACAGCCAGGACAGCTGACCCAAACTGACCAAAGGGATACCCCAGACCATATGATGTCATGCCAGTATACAAAGCTGGGGAAAGGAGGAAGGGGAGACCTTCGGAGTGATGACATTTTGTCTTCCCAAGTCACCATTACACGTGATGGAGCCCTGCTTTCCTGGAGATGGCTGAACACCCTCGGCCGATGGGAAGTGGTGAATTAATTCCTTGGTTTGCTTTACTTGCATGTGGCTTTTGCTTTACCTATTAAACTGCCTTTATCTCAACCCACGAGTATTCTCACTTTTACTCTTCTGATTCTCTCCCCATCCAACTGGAAGGGAGTGAGTGAGCAGCTGTGTGGGGCTTAGTTGCTGGCTGGGGTTAAACCACAAGTATAAAAAAAAACCCAACAAAAAACCAACTCTAAAACTAGGAGGGTCGATCTGCTGTCCACCGTAACAACAATCAACTTGAAGTGAACTTATCTTCCTTTAATGCAAGTATTTCCAGCCTCTTTTAGGCTCCCCAGAAGCCGTCCCTCTTCATTCTGCCTCTGTCACCCCTGTGCCACAGACCGTGATGGCATGGCTGCGCAGGGGGCCACAACAGGAAAGCAAGCCTGCTAAAAACACATCCCACCTTTCCCCTCCTAATTTTTGTTGCACTGAATCAGTTCCCTATTCAGGCCCCCTCTGCAGCTACAAGGTGTTGCATCATTACAAAAGGGAGGTGGGAAAACACAGCTGGAGCAAGGGGGGGCTGGTGGAATCCCCTTTTTCAGCACCAACCTGCAATTAGGGTGACCCCAAGTAATTACGAAACTCCAGCTTCACTGAAGGCGAGTTTCAAGGTTGTTTTCTTTTACGGCTGACAAGTCTTTCTCTACAAGATGCATACCTTGATAATCACCTAGCCAGCAGGTCTGCACCACTCTTGACAGGGATGGTTTAGCACACTGGAGTCCTCCTTCCCTTTTTACAACAGCAAGCTTCAAACCAGCTTCAAACCTGAGCCCTGCGAGCGGCTGGCTGGCATGTCTCAAAGTTGAGTCCCACGGGGTCTCAAAAAACTACTCACTTGGGAAAATGATTCTAGAAAGAAGTTGGGCTTTCTTGGATATTTATGAAGTCTCTGTTCCCCCATCCAGAAGGTGGAAGAAAATCAAACTGTAAAAGCAAAGAGAACCCCACGGTGCCGAGGCTGCACACTCCTGCGCTGCTCTGCTTATGTGACTGAAACTGGACTAAAAAGAATTTGTGTGAAAAGCAAAGCCAGGGCAAGAAGAGCACCCTCTGCTTTATGGACATTGCAGAAAGAAACAGGGGATAAGCAAAAAGGATACAAAGGGAATGTGAATTTGCGAGCGTGATGGTGGGAAAGGTGTATATGACTCTGTGATATAGCTCTGTCACCAGGAGGGAAGAGAGACAACAGCAAAATTAGACTCATCACCTCTGGTCTGAAAAGGTGTGACAGAGGCAGAGACTGTGCAGGTCCCCATCCCCTTCCAGCAGCAAGAGATGGGCCCTGAGCAAAGCTGCCCAAACACGACGGGGTTAGGGACAGACACTCACTACACTTCTCCATAGCCGTGCTTCCTTCTCATTCAAAGTAGTGTGAATGGAATAAATAATACAAACCAGTGTTTCCCCATGCTCTAGCCAAACCCATTCATACGTCGAGCTCTCACTGATACCCTCCTCTGCCCTAACACTCACCGTGGATGATCCTGCACCTCAGACACCCATTTCTAACAGCTATGGCCACTGCCCTGACACAGGTATTTCAGGACCCAAGAAACGAAGACACTTCAGCATTCCAATCCCCACAAAAGCTCCTCTAACATAATCTATCATAACTAGTATTCAGTCTCTGCTTAGAACCAGTATTCCTAGGTTTCACATGGAAAAAGTTATAAAAAGCTGTAATAATCATCTGCAAGTACTGCAATGTAACTATATCCCAAGATTTTGTTATTCTCCCATTTTAAAATGCTTAATCCCTGCTGTGTTTACCACAAAGCTCTTACACTGGAGCAAGAAACATATATCACAACTTTAAGGCTGATTTTTTTCTGGTAGACTTCTAGTCATGGACACAATGCCTAGGCTATGCCTTCAAAAGCCTTAAGCTTGGCTGCAGATGTTAATGGCACATTTTCACCATAAACCTCGTTTTACTTACTACAAAGATAGACACAAATCACAACTGCACGTAGATTGGGAGTTTTCTACCAGTAAATGTAGTAGTAACCATTTCCCCTGAAATCTTGTTTCTGTGTATGTAAGGTATTTCCCTTTATCATCACTTCAATCAGTTACCCAGTCTACATGATAATCTGCTACTGAAAGGAGTTTTCAGTAGTCTCATTTTTGTTTTCATCCTCTCTCAGGATTGCATTTGTCAGATCTATCAAACCTCTAAACGTAGCGTCTTGCAAGTTTTAATTTCCTGTTAAAGGAAAATTTCTTGGTGCAACGATGACACCAATGTAGAAGTGTCTGGCACAACTCGGCATATGCACAGGCTACTCGTCTTGGGAAAATTTTACATTTTCCCTAACTGATATATTAGACAGTCTACCCTTGAATCTTAAAACCCCCATAGTTTTCAGCTGTTCAGAAGCCTACGTACTGATTGCATATGTATTTCAGAAATATTTCAGAAATTATAAACTGCTTTGCAAGCTTGATGTGTTTCTCTGGAAAAACAAATAAGACATGCTCACTTCATAAAGCTCTAGATTATGACCAGGGAAGTAACCACAAAGCTGACACTGGGAATTTTTGTTAATGTCTATTTTGACTGCAAAAAGCAAGCACCGATTCCAATCTGAAAGCACTCAGAAAGGTAAAACATATTGTAAAAATGCAACAATGGAAGAAGTTTCTTTTCTGTAAAATGAGATCGTGTATGCCTCGCTGTAAAGTCCCTTTTTAACACAAGCAAAAGGAAAGATCAGACAGTTCAATGAGAGTGCAACACCTCAAGAACCACAGTTCCCTTGCTTTACAAATCAGCAGTGAATGACGAACAAATAACAAAGCAGAGACCAGAATACTTGCATTTTACACTTCTGGGGGGAAAAAAAAAAATAAAACCAAAACCCATAAGCATTAAACAAAACACCTTCCTTAAGAAGCATTTTGCCATTTGGCAAACTGATGCAACTACCTTTCACACACAGAGTTAGTTAGGAAATTTCAATAAACACATTTTATTTCCGCGTACTGAAGTAATTCGACTCCAAGTAAGTTTTTAAACAAGCTTTAACTGGAACAAATTTTGTGCTCTATGCAATGCTTTTGGACAGTGAGTCAACGTGTGGTGGCCACCGCATAAAGCAAAGGGAGAACAAAACCAGAGGTGCTGATATGTAGCTATCAGTAAGGTACCCTAACCAACAGGCTTTTAAAAAAAAAATAAAAGGAAAACATAAAAAAAAGTTTTTTGTGGCTTTGTCTGTTCACAATAACACCAGCCGCTACCACAAACGTAGGGAAAGCCTATCAAAAAATCTTGCAAGAGAGGAAAGCTAGTACTGGCTTTTCAAAATGAGCTACTATCAACATAAACCAGCCGCACAAGTATCTACACCAGCAACAAATGCACTACAAGTGCAGACCCAGAGCCAACACAATTATGCCTGTCTTTTCTTCTACACCTTGAATTCAAAACTTTTTAGAAAATGCAAAGAACGGGAGACTTTCCAGAGCTATAAAGACCTTAAAGCCAAAGGTCTGTATTTAACAAGCTTTTCCTCTCACTCAGGAAAATAATGAAGCATTGCCTATTTGTTCCAAAAGGCAGTTTTCACCTTCCAGCATTATTTATTCCCTCTTTCCACCCTCCTCAAAACCACATGCATACAGGGCTGAAGAATGCCTTCACAAGCCCCGATGAGCAGCACCCGCGCTGGGTCCACACCACCGGTGACAGTGGCACCACGCTGGGTATGCAGGGATGCGCTCTGACTTCTCTCCAGAAACGGAGTTCGGGTTTCACTCATAGCGTCCTCAACCCTAACCCCAAAGCGTCTCTCCTCCTCTTCATGTTCCTCAGCTTCTACACCAGACTGTTAGTCATCTCTGCCTTCGTTCCCATCAGGTCTACTCTAACCTCATCGCTACCGCACAGCAGTAAGCATTTGCCTCAAGTGTTGGACAAGCTAAAAACCAGCTGGAAGGGGTCACCCAGACCCCAGCAGCACTTGCTGCTCTCCGCATCTCTCCAGTTCTGCTCCTCTCCAAGCCTTCTTTAAAGGTGCTCTGACACAGATGCTCTACTACCCGTGCCGCAGTCTCTACAGCGCTGTGAAACCATCAGCTTCCATTACCTCACCCAAAGACCTTGCAGTTTGGTTTCAATACGTGGCAAAAAAATCTGTCAGCAAACCTATTCCATCAGTCACTTAACACTCTGCTAGGTTCTGCATTTCAGTTCTTTACACTTTTAAAGGACATAAATTTCCCAAAAAATAAATGCAAGCGTTTGCTGGGGAGAGGGCTGCCTTATTTTTGAAAACGCAGCACGTCCACAACCAGCCTGCTGCAGCTCCCATCCCGGTGGGGTACTGCTTACAACTTCACTGACTTCCCACACATTAATTTTCACACTCTTCCACTTAAAAGCAAAAGTTCAAACTAGTTGCTTCAATAGCTACAACAGAAGAGGCCAAAAAGTAATGAATTAATTTAAACGTTGCTGCAGTGAAGCTTCCCAGAAGATAGGATTTCAGACAGATAACGAGCGTACAGCACAGAGCAGCAAGCGTTGCTCCAACTCGGAGCAATCTGCTCACCCATCGTCTCCTGGCCACGCAGTAAGTCACATTACAACCGTGTAAACTCCTGCTTCCCTGCCCTATGCAGCTGATGGCTTTCTACATGTTAAAGTTAAGTTAGCTAATCACGTACACGCTGGTTAATTACTTGGAAAAAAAACCCAAAAAATGCCTCAGCTTAATATTTGTGACTTTCATAGCAGCTACAGGGTGGTGGGGAATCAAACTACATCTTCTTCTGCCAAGTAAAATACATTATGGGAAACCAAAGGAAACCCACTTGCTTGCAAAGACTTTGCCTCGGCAAGACACAAAGTAAAATACTCCTGTTTGACCTTCTATCTTGTTAGTTGATCAAAAGCTGACCAAGATGCAACGCCAGCAGCCATACTCACCATAACTCTTACCACACTACAGCAGCCAAATTACCCCTTCTTTTAAGTGGCAACAGAGAACGCAATAACCACACTGTCGAGATCCCAGCACGCCGGGTCCCACTCGGGCCACGCTGCCCTTCCCGCTCCCCTCCGCTTCGGTCACTGCCGACGGGAGCGCAGCAGGTCGGTCCCCTTCACAGCCCTCCCTGCATCCACGCCAGCGACAGCCACTGGAATAGCTGCACGTGGGAAGGACAGCGAAGGGAAAAACAACAGGCTAATCGCGTTTCTGAAACCAGCACATCATTAGGTTTTAGCTAGGAGGTGCACAGCATCCATGCCCTGTAAACCACATTTCTTTGTAGGCAATTTGTAAAAGAGCTTTGGCCCTTAAAAAAAAAAAAAAAAGGCACAATTAACTGATGAGCAATTACAAACTACTTAATGCACTATTCTTATCATTTGTTTCAAGCCACTAATGCAGCAGCCACTGTGTTCAGGTGGAAAGGGATTAGGCTGCCATTTTGTAACAAAACACTGTCACTAACTTCAGCTAATGTCTTACTTCCAAGTAAGATCAGATTCATGAGTTACATTAAATAATTCTTTTGACTATAGATCAAAGCAAAATGTAGTCTTGAAAGAGTGGTTTAAATAACAAAAGTTCAACCCTTTAACTAAGCTCTGTTACATCATTTAAAGTATTTAGTTACTCCCCTTTTCAGCCTAAGCTTTGCTAGTAAATGAAGCATGACCATGCTTTAAGGCAAGACACATACTGTAACACAGACCAGGATTTATAACTTGCTATACAGTTTGCCACCAATAAATCAATAATACATATACACACACAGTTTTGTTTCAGTGCGAATTCTGGGAACTTACTGCTTTAAAAAAATAAACTTAAGCTTTTTTGTTTTGTTTTTATTCTAAACGAAAACAAACTCGTTGCTCTCATTTTATTTAACTTCACCCAAATCCTAACTACACTGTCATTTAGAACAAAAATTTACAATTATTTTTCCTTTGACAACATGTGTTATTAATTTTTAGGGTTTTTTAACATGGTTAACCATTACACAGACCAACTGAACATGCTGAAGTCCATCACAATCACTCAATAATCTTTCAGTCTCCAAATGCAATCACCAATCTGAAAGCTACTTAAGCTGTTTCCTAACATTCGGACATAAAATATTTACCAACAGAAGTATAAATACATACTGAAAAAGCAACCTAAAAATACTTTTAAAACCACATTCCAACAAAGTAATTCCTTGAGGGATGGGAACAAATTACCATGGGCTTGAACTAACACACCACCTCAAGTTTCACTCCCTTCTCATGTTTTTGGGCATTGCAGAAGTGGTATAATAGATGCATACACTATCCTGTCATATGTATGACAAACATGGTTTGGAAAGATAGGGCTAGTCTTAACTTGGAATTTCTTGGTACTAGGTTAAAAACCTTAACAACAGGCACGTGCACCGCGGAAAACCTACAAAATACATCTTGAAAATGATGTCCAGCGACTCCCCTCTCGCAGGCTTAATTTCACCTGCCCTTTCTACTGCTGACCAAGGGACATGTTTAAATGCCGACACGCTCCTTCACTGACGGTCTTTTTTTGGCTGCAGAAGAGCTGTGTACCTGCTCCACCGCGCAGCTGCGCAGCCAGAGGGGCATCAGGCACAGGACAGGGACCGCAGCGGTTTGCAGAGGAAGCTGGATGGGGAACTTGTATTGAGAAATAAGTAGTACAAAAACAAGATCAGAAGAAAATTACTGGCAAATGAAACTGTTGTTTGATAAACAATTTAAGCAGGAAGAGTATTTGGCAGAGTGTTTTCAGAGAACGGTCCTTGACTCCTGACTAACATGCTTCCTCCCTTGGTCTGAGTTTGTTGACTTTCTGGGCATGCTGTAAGGTTTATGCCTTTTCCCATGATGGGAAAAATACAGCTTTTTTGAGAAGCTGCCTGTGAATGCAATTGGTGGATGTTTTCTAAAAAATTATAAATAGGAAACAAGAAAGCAACATTTTCTTTATTTAGGTTTTTGCTACTACTAAAGTCCCATTCAGGCCTCTTAGTATTCCTTCAGGTCTAAACCCCAAGTAATGACTCAGCTTGGCATGATAACACACAACGGTATAAATGTATGTCTGGCATTTAATACCGATAGCAAGTATTACGTATTTTGGACAATTAAATGGAATACCAGGTTTTGAAGCCTTTCAGAAATTTTTTATAGGTTTTAATATTTTATCTGGACAATTACAGTTCAGCCTAAGTATCACACCTTACACTGAACTGAAATCAAGAGGCAGAGACAGCGGAATGCAGAGAATGCCTTTTCTATCTAGGTGTTTCCCAACAACATATTGCAGTACTTAGTTAAGCTCATTTTCTGTGACATGAAAAGGAAAATAGCAGAATTGACTCATGAAGTAAAATTAGCTGATGTACAGTCACAAGGAAGCTGGCTTGGAGGTGACAGCATGCATAACAGCACATAACAAAAAATAACATGCTTAACGTTAATAATGTTGCAAGCTAGTTTAGAACCAGAAGTACTATTCTCTGTATGGTATTCTTAATATGGACTGTCCATTTTTTTAAATCAGCATCTCTAGTAGCATACCCTAAACTATATATCAGGAATTATTATAAAGGCCTTCTAGAAATCATGCATTAACAAAGGCACACATAAAATATTTTTTATGTACTGCAAATCTGGCATTTAGAATCAGTAAAAGGCATGCCTACCAGGATGAACACTGAACTACGGACAGCCAATGTCTACTTGCTCCATGAACACAACTAAGGTAGATACTACAGCTAAAATACTTTTTTAACCATAAAAAACTTCTTTGGTGATAATTTGTAGAATTCCCCCACTATTCCCTGTGACAAGTCACACTAAAATGAAAACAACAGATTTAGCTGCAGTGGCACTGTCAACCTTGCTATGATACACTGTCACTAAAAAGTCCTTAATTTTGGCTATCAAATACAATTTCAATTTCTTGCACTTTAGAGCAGTAAAAACAATTCTGTGAAGACTCTGTGTTTACAATCCCTCAGTAAAGAATGCAGCTGTCTCAATCAATGCTGATCGTCTGTTAATTAGTTCAGTTTTACAAGCTGATGGAACAGATTACTTCATTCCCTCCCTACACACAGAAAGAAACTCTACAAATACAGTTATCTACAATACAGTAATTTTTGCTTCCCGGCAATTTGTGGAGGTAGATGGTGTACTGGGGATGCAAGTGATCTCTTTACCAAGAAATCATTTACGTTTGTATCTTTTCAAGGGACTCTATCATACAGTGATTTTTCAGTCCATATATATACACACATACATACCTCTCTCCTATATGAAAATTGAAATAAAGAGCAACACTTTCTGATACAGTGGGAGTACCTCCCCTCTTTTTTGCTGTGACTGAAACCAAGTCCAGAGTTACCCAAAGTCCTTTAGGAACAAAAGTCAGGTCCTCATTAAATAATTTCCTATCTATATTATGTATTTAATCAGAACCACATTTTTGAACCGAAACCAGTGTTCAAATTTGTGACCTACAGCAGCAAGCTAAAGGTTTTTAGTGAACAGTTTGAAGCTGCTATCGCCATCCGTGTGCTTTTCAGACAAACCACAAATAAATAGCTGGATTACCTCTGAGCTACTCACTCTCAGATTCACTGCCCCCAGTATCTCCATCTTTTATCTAGACACTCTTGAAGAAAAGCCAAGTTTTAGCTTTCATATATGCAGACGACAGTGTTGGACACCCTCATCCAAATGTCAGAAAGCACTTCTGTTGAGAAAACCGATGAAATA